CACGGCCTGGCCAAGCTTATTGCTGATGTGGCTCCTGGAGCCATCAGGGAGAACGACATCAAGTCTTACTTTGGCCGGAAGGTCGCTATCGATGCCTCCATGAGCATCTACCAGTTCCTGATCGCCGTGAGGCAGGGAGCTGAGGTCCTGCAGAACGAGGAGGGGGAGACCACCAGCCACTTGATGGGCATGTTCTACAGGACCATCCGTATGGTGGAGAATGGCATCAAACCAGTTTATGTCTTTGATGGCAAACCCCCCCAGCTGAAATCAGGGGAGCTGGCAAAGCGGACCGAGCGCCGGGCTGAGGCTGAGAAACATCTGCAGGAAGCTCAGGAAGCTGGAGAGGAGAACAACATTGAGAAGTACAGCAAGAGGTTGGTTAAGGTGACCCAGCAGCACACTGATGAGTGTAAGAAGTTGCTGACTCTGATGGGTATCCCCTACGTGGAGGCACCAGGGGAGGCTGAAGCCAGTTGTGCCACCTTGGTGAAGGCTGGGAAGGTCTATGCAGCTGCCACGGAGGACATGGATTGTCTGACCTTTGGCAGCCCCGTGTTGATGAGACACCTGACTGCCAGTGAGACAAAGAAATTACCCATCCAGGAGTTCCACCTGAACCGTATTCTGCAGGATCTAGACCTGACCTGGGAACAGTTTGTGGATCTGTGTATCCTCCTGGGCTGTGATTACTGCGAGAGCATCCGCGGCATCGGGCCCAAGCGTGCCATCGAGCTCATCAGGGAGCACAAAACCATCGAGAAGATCATTCAGCAGCTGGACACCAAGAAATACCCTTTGCCTGACAACTGGTTGCATAAAGAGGCTCAGAAGCTTTTTCTAGAACCTGATGTGATCAACCCTGACACCGTCGAGCTGAAATGGACCGAACCTAAGGAAGAGCAGCTCGTTGAGTTCATGTGTGGGGAGAAACAGTTCAACGAAGAGCGGATCCGCAACGGGGTCAAGAGGCTGAGCAAGAGCAGGCAGGGCAGCACCCAGGGCCGGCTCGATGACTTCTTCAAGGTCACAGGTTCCATCACCTCAGCCAAACGCAAAGAACCAGAGACCAAGGGCTCAGCAAAGAAAAAAGCCAAGACCAACAACGCTTCAGCTGCAAAGAGCAAGAAGGGGAAATAGCCAAATTTGGATTGCAAACCCCTTTGGGGTTCATTTTTTTTTTTATGCTTTACCAGGAATTTTAGGTTAATAACAAACAGTCTCTTTTCTGTCCTGTGATGTTAGTGGTAGAGTGGATGCTGCTGAAGCACTTCAAGGATAGGTTAGTGAATCAGCTCAGTGTCTTCCTGTGCAGCAGTAGCAACGTACGAGGAGAGGAGAGGAGAAGAGGGAGCTGAAACCACAGTGTGGTGGGTCGGAGGAGCGAGGAACCAGGGAGTTGGATTCAGCACTTGAGCAGCAACCTTCATGGGTTTGAGACTTGATGAGGAGATCACAGGTGATAGCCAAGCTGTGGAGTTAAAGGGAGGTACTGATCACAAACACACCCTCTCTGATTTAAGATATAAAACCAGCTAGAGAGGGAAATGGGTACAAATCAGAGCGATTTCTGCTCAGAAATCCTCTCCAAAAAGAGGGAGGTGGCAGCAGCAGGGGCTGGAGGAGAAATTGGGGTGAGGTAGGTGGGTGGCAAGTGGGAGTTGGGAAGGAGGCTGGAAATAATGAGGTAAACTCCTCCCTTTAACAAGGATGGGGGATAGGTTCTTCCTTCCCTTATTGTCATCACTGTCCTTTGTGGATTTTGTTTTGGTTTTGGTCTTTTTTAATTTAAAAAAAAACCACTTGTAATCCTGATTCCAACAAAGTTCTGACCTATTCTTGGTGCATAAACTTGACAAGCTGAACTGAGAGCGCCTGAGTTTTGCTGCTACCTTCTGTTTTGTGTTGAAAAATATCAGTTAACCCTAGAACAGAAGCCTTTAACTCCCTGATTTCCTGAGCCATCCTCCTTCCACGTTGTACACACACACAGACAGGTCCCAGACTCAGAAGAAAAACAAGATAGCACCTCTTTTTTATTATTATTATTATTTTATTTGATTCTGTGTTTTTGCCTAGTATTTCCTCTTGCTTGTCAAAGCAACGTGCTCGGTTTTGTTTTCAGAATAAAATTGATTCACAACACAATGTTTCTCCTTCTCTTCAGAGGTGGTTTAAACCTTGTTGCTGAAGGTGAAGAAAAATCCCACTTTTAGAGAGAAAAACTATTAGTGACAACAAATCTGGCACGGGAAATTCCAAGTGTTAATCCTGGTGTTAACAGGGGCTTTGGGATGCTTTGTAGACATCAAAGATCTGTGGGTCAAATCTCTGCCAAGTTCTAAAATCAACAAGCTGGGCTTGTTTCACAGAGAAATTCCATCAACATCACTAAAATCATCCTGATTTTTTTTAAAAACCATTAAAAATGTGATTTTCTGAGAGAGGAGAGCAGCGTGTGGAGGTGGGGAACACCTCCAGCTCACTCTGTGGGTGGGAAGGGGCACTCAGAACACCCAAACCTTACAAATCTGCTTTTCTAATCTGGTGCTTTTCACAGGATTTTGGTTTAACCTGAATTCCAGCCTCAAAACTGGAGATATTTTGGCAAGAGGAAGGTTGGGTGCTTCAAACAAGGAGGGGGCTGTAGCTGCTGTGCTTTGAGATCCTCACCTGTGCTCTCCACAAGCATCAGTGCAGGTGTCTGGGGATGTGACATTGCCCCATTTTTTTCTTCTTTTCACCTTAATTCCAAACAGAAAAGCACTGAGGGAAAATGAGATTTTTCAAACCAAGGTGAGGGGTGGTGTTTTATCACCTGCTCTGTGTGTTTCTGTATTTAGGGAGGCTTCTGGCAGTGTTTGTGCTTTCAACCCTGAATCTTTGTCACCTCTTGTCACTCTTGAGCCACAACCTCTTATTTTTTTTTTTGCCTTCAGGTGGAAAAACCAGCTCAGACAGTTTAACTTTTAAACATCCTGCCACTGGTTTGTCTTTTCTTGTCCAGGTTAAACCCTCAGTGCAGCTTTCCCCCCTCTTTTTTTTTTTAAGTCTTGCAGGGCAATTTAGTTTGATATTTAGAGATGTTTTAGTGTCCCCCACTCCCTCTGTCCTCTTTCTCCTGCCTTCCCCCTCCCACACACCCTCCACTTGGATTTACTTGATCCCCAAGGTAAGTTATCCCCACATTACTGAAATTTTATGGATTATTTGTAGAAAACTACCAGTGAAAATGGATTGAAATACATTTTCCTGTGATGTTAGTGATCTGTTACCCTTAACTGACAGTCACCTGCTACTCACAGTGCTCCAGACATTTCATCTATTCAGATTTCAGTACTTAATTACATTATTTCATTTCAAAATGCAGTAAAGACAAGAAACTGGGATTGTTTGGGGTTGGTTTTTTTTCTGGATATGTTCCACAGGGCTCAACCCATGAGGAAATCTGCAGGATTTTTCTCTAGGAAGAATAAAAACACATTCCAGAGCCTAGAACAACCTTCTGCCCACGCTGCAACGTTATTCCTTGTTTGCAGGAGGTGAGAGCTTGGTCCCAGCACTGCGTCTGTCAGGGATTTTGGTGTGTAAGGATGATTGAGTGTTGTCAGAAAAATATTAGTGGAAGGAAAAAGGAGCTGCAGCCAAAATCTAGAAATACCCTAAAAGCTCTTTCTGGTGTGTTGGAACCTCATAAATATTTGTAAAGTGAAAACTCTGCTCGTTACAGTGATTTAATTAAGAATCTGGTTTGGTACCAGAGAAGCAGAGTGAGGTGATATCTCAAATATGAGAGAGAGCCACCCTGCTGGGCACCACAAAAACCAGGAATAGTGATTAAATAACACGTTTGGTGATGCCCAGTGTGTGAGCAAAGCTGCCTGGCATCACCCAGGGCATCCTGGGGTGCTCCAGGAGGGCGTGTGGCACGAGAACCAGCAGCGTGCTGCGGTTGGGGCCGTCCCCATCATGTCTGGACAAAAGGTACAAGTGTCTTTGAGAGAAAAAATAAATAAGTAAGAAAATTGAGGAGGCAGCTGAGCATTTGGTCTCAATATTGCAGAGAACCAGTTTATCCTCTCTCCTGGCTGAAGGAGAGGGATGATCCATGTGGGAGAGATTTTACTGATGCGGTGGCACGCAGGTTTGCTTGGATTTAGCTCAGATTAAAGTCCTTTTTTCCCCGCAAGCATCTCAGGGGCCACCCCATCACCTGCCTGCCTTCTAGCTCATGTTTATTTTCACTACCAGGTTTCTTTCTTCTTTTTTTTCCTTACAATTTCTATTC